AAAACTCAAGGTGCTTTTTGGCAAGGTGCATTTGGCATATATTTTCACCCTTCATGAATCCTTCTGAAGTCGGGGAGAGCAATTGTTTACCTAAGTTCCCCAGAGTTTCTGGATTTATTGAGTGGCAGTGTGAGTAAAGGGAGCCAAGTCACTTAATATTCAGTCCAGAGTTTCCCATTAAACCAACTCAACAGATTATCTGCCACTTACCATATGTTGAGAACTGGCTAAGGCTTTGTGGATAGAGAGAGTGACCAGACAAGGTTCTGTTCTTGTTTTTACATTCTGATTAAAGGAGGTTGAGATAAAGCATATAACAAATAAATAAAACCACTGCAGATAGTAGTAAGTGTTAAGAAAATAAAACTTCAATAGATGTTGTGGATAGAGTGGTCAGGGCCAACCTCTCTAGGTAGGTGATATTAGACCCTTGGAAACTTTCATGAAAATAAAACTATAGATCCATATAAGGCTTGTTTCCAAAGCATTTTCATCCATATAACCTCTTCTGTATACAAATCCTTATGCCAACCCCAAAAGGAAAGCTGGGCTGATTATTTTTGTTTCCATTTTATAGATGAGGAGCCTGAGGCTCAGAGAATTTAAAAGACTTGCCAAGGTCTTTCCAAGAAAGGAGAGAACCAGTCTTCAGACTCACATCTGTTGGTGAGGTTATTGGTCTTTAGAACCCAAACCAATGTTCTTTATGGATGTACACACTGTTCACCAAAACATATTACTTTCATTGGCAAAGTATGTAACCTATCACCCACAAGATAAGCTTCTTTCACGTGAAATTTAACTCTAACCAGCAGTCTCAGAACCTAAGCAGAACCTGGGCGGTAGGAACCACGAGTTCTTGAGCAGCTGTGCGTGCCAGACCAGGTCTGATTTTTGCAGTGACTTTTAACTGGTTGTTCATACTCATGAGCTAGAGAGTGTCCAGGATTGAGCCATTCTTCCAAAAAGATAAGAATTTCCACGAGAAGGGGGAAAAATACTCTACCATTACAGGAACCCTCCAGACAATTCACTGATCTTTCAACAATTTCTGCTAGACTCATGTTCTGTCTTAGATTCTTGTGTACTAGGACTTTCTGAGATATACAGGAATGATTAAATCACAGCTGCAAAATGGAGGGAGAACTGAATGCCAGAAAACCACTAGCAATGGGACAAATGTTTCCCATCACCTCATCCTGCCACTCAATTCCTGATACGTTAAGTCAGAAATTAGCAATAAAGCAAAGTGAGGGAAGGAAAAAAAAATGCTCCTTGTTCAGGTACTAAGCTACTAATTGTATCTATTTGATTTTAAAACATTCTAACTAAAAAATTTTGTTACAAGAAATTTACATGTGCAACTTATGAAAGAAGCAAAATGTGGCTGGGATTGTGACTCAGGCAATCAAAGATCTCTTTCTCATTTATGAGCAATAAGTCAGTTTATGTCACTGGTGTACCTTCCTCTGTGGCACATAAACTCTATCAGAAGCAAGCTGGCCTCCAAGTAAATTTACACATACTTCTAGGTTGCCAATTTAAGGGACTGAAATAACAAACACATGTGTGTGCCCACATGTACATATGGATACATCCACAAAACCAAGTTCAGTTACTAGCACGTATACACACATACACAATACATACACATGTGTAGATGCACTTAAACAACTAAACAGTTGTGAATGCTAACAGGATCTCAGCACAGGGGGTAAACAAAGAATAAAAGATAAAAATGAATTCAGAAATAAAAATAACACAAGTTACTTGTTGGAGGTAAAAGTAAATTAAAGACAATCTCTGAAATGTGATTCTTAGTATTAGGAATCTGAAAACATTTTGCAGAAACAGAAACTGAGAACAAAATTTGACAAGAGAGTTTAAGTGTAGGGGATGTTATAGTAGTGGATAGGTATGTCTTAGAATACAATGAATCTCACTTGGCCTTCAGGAGTCCCATTAATCTGAGAGAGAAGTAATTCCATGAAATGCCCAAACTAGTAATATATTCCCACATGTGAGATATTTCTCTTTCAGCCCCATTCAAAATGTGAAATTAGACATTTGGATGGGGATGTGTATTTCAGGAAGAAAAGTGTCACGCAAATAACTGACCGATTTCCCCATAAGTTTCACGAAAATAATTTTTCTATAAACGCTTATTTTTATTAAGACAGTGCAAACATAAAACACTCCATATTGCAATTACTAAATTGTAGCCATACCACTTATCAATGGCCAATAAATTACTTCACTCTCTGATAGATACAAATGTTCCATTCAAGTTCAGTTAATAGAACAGTGTCAGAATATCATGCAGACGGCTTGCATAAATAGACAAGGAATAACAGCATATCCTTAGTAACTTCTGTGGTTTTTAGGCATGAAAACTTTGTCTTATTCCAAATTTCAAAAGATGGAATAAAGAATGTTTTCATATAAAATACATTTGGAATATTTAGGGTTTTTTCTTTAAAAAAAGCATCTAACACTCCCAATGGAACATACACTCCCAGCTCATCTTTTTAGTTACAACAAAATCGGATAGATACGTATTCTTTTTCATCTAATTGGATCAGATGTGAATATTTCAGTGATTTCTAACAATATTAAACAGCTAAATTCAAAATAATATTCTTCTGATAAGTGTAATATGTATTTGTAATTAAGGGAAGAAAGACTTCTTAGTTGACTTGTTTCGTCTGTGAGCCGTATTTTCTATTTTATCAGATAACTGAAAGTCATTAGTTGATTCACAGCATAAAATCTTGATTCAATTACCAACACGCCTTTACTTTCTGCTCCTAATTTTGAAATGTATTTGGACTAGAGGTACCGGAGAAATATTACTGCTTATCAAACAACTTTTCTGGAAATTTTAATTCACAAAATTTCCAGATTTATATATTCGAAAATAAATAATTTTTAAAATGAAATTAAGAAAAAAGGCGGGGGGTGGGGGAAGCCTACAGTTTCTATTCTGCTTGAATAGTTTTCAGTATCTTCCAGGTGGGGGCAACAGTCAGTCAGTTTTGAAAGGAGAAGAGAGAACGGGCTCTGAAAGCTCCCTGAGTCCAGTTACAGAAGATGAAATGACTTCCAGGTAGCAATAATGTGAATAAAACAACCACAGACTTCCAGGAGCTGGGACTTTGGGCTCTGTCCCGCCGCAAGCTAAAGGACCCACCGCCCTGTGCGCGCGCCACCACCTCTCTTCCGCCAGGAGTCGGGAGGCAGATCCCAGCGCGCACGCGCCCTGCGCACCTGCCCAATCTCGCACAGACGCGGGCGTTTGGTCTGAGCAGCCCCACTCACGCCGGCGCCGTGCCCCCGCGGAATGTCCATCATTCTCAGCGTTCCGGCTCACTCGCTCTCCAGGACCTCTAAGAAGCAGAGAAACCTTCTCTCTGTTTACATCTCAATTCTTCCTCTGGACAATTCATGCCCATCCACAATTGCTGCAGAAGTGCGCGCGCGCACCTATACCCTGAAAAGAAACTCAAAGTCACGGCAGCCAGACAACCAGCTTCCAGGCGGGGCGGCGGGGTTCCCACTCCTCTTTCCTCCGCTCTTTGCAAATCCTCGGACTCCAGGGAGGGACAGCTGTGCACTCTGGAGAGAATGAGGGTGGTGCATGAAGCGGAAGTTGAGTTTGCACAGTCCGTGGAGACCGGGATCCCCACCAGCACCCCCGCCTCCTCGGTTTCCCTCTGGCCCAGCGCGGAGTAGGGGGCGTGGAAGGCCAGAGAGTCGGAAAACCGAAGCCCCGAAGTGGCCGGGAGATGAGGGGGTGCGCGTCCTGGGGTCGCAAGTAGAGGGCGGAGAAGCTCCAGCGCATCGGGCCAGAGGGCCCC